CTGACCCTATCCCAGACCTAAAATTTTGATTTTACATACCCTACCCCAGACTAAAACTAAGAGTTGAACACCCCTCCCACACTATACCTGGTTAGTCAATAGATCGCAATCAATATTTACTAACGTTTTTATTGTTTTTGTGCCAGCAGAAAGCTTAGTCTATTCACAAAAATGACCAAATCCTTAACCATATCCCAGACAAAAATGCTACCCTATCCCAGACAAAATGTCAAAAAATAATACCCTACCCCAGACCCAAAAGCCGAAAAACCATAACCTATAGGGCAGCACATATCTGTATAGCAAATATCAAATATAGGGGAGTAGCCCCCACGGGCATTTCTAGACCTCAAATTCACTCTTTATCAATTAAAATAATTATTTAGTATATTATAGTAGAGTGCTTCTCATATGATTCGAAAGCGAAGTCCATAACTTAGCTGTCAGTGCATATATATATCTATAGAAAAATTTCAATTGAACACTAGTCATATGAAAAACATCCGTCCCTTAYGAGGACATTTAATTTCTAATTTCTTACTTTACCACAATCAGTTGTTAGCCTGACTACAGGCTCTACACAATCATTAGTACAGCCAGCCAGTCTCGAATCTTCTCACAGTCCTTCTTCCCGATCTTGTAGCTGTTACACTATCTTCTTCAATGACTTCATCACCCTCTTCCTCTTCACTTCCATATCTTCACCAACATTACTTTAATTTTCACTGCCATCTGTAGTCCACTCTTCTTCACTAGCACTACTGCTAAGGGGATTAACACTTTCTTCTTCTTGTCTTCTTGTCTTCTTGTCTTCTTGTCTTCTTGTCTTCTTGTCTTCTTGTCTTCTTGCATAGTAATGATGCCTTATGCATTTTAATTTTCCATCTTTGGAGAGGTATTTGCATGAAAGTTGTATTTTTTGAGTTATTTGACTCTTAGCTTCCAAATCCCCTGATTTAATGTGATAAGGCCAGTCATAGTCATCGTACAGTTTAGCTTTCCGATCTTCCTTGTTTTGCTTTCTCTTACAAGCCCTCATCTACCTCAAAATTTGCTCCTCRTAGTGTTTCACGGAATCTTGTAATAAATGTACAGGGACACACAATTCTTTACTGAGGTCTGTAAATGTTTGTTTGTCAGAACTCTGTAAGTAACCTGAAGCAAAACATTTCTTGACTCTTGCTCTTGGTAAGAAGTCATCAATTTCTTGAGGTGATCCATCTTCAGTTGCGGTTGGCGTAATGAAAACATCTAAGTAATGACCTTCTTTTGCCTTATCTGGGAAATGACGTGGAATACACTCCTTTATAGGTGCTTGCAATTGTGTAATTTATTTGGCAATATTCACATTTTGTAGCTGGATCACATGAATCTTGAATATACTCCAAAATACAATTCACCTAACTGAACGTGCATGCCTCTGCATAAAGACCTCAAGTTTCTGCATATAGTGGTATAACCAGGAACAGAAGGCTTGTTGTTAGCTGTTGCATGTTGGTACTCCCTTATGTAAATCAGGTTGAAAAAATGAGAATTTTCAAATGATGGGGTCAACTTTGAATCAATAAACTCTCCCAAAAAAGGTGCACCATCAATTCTTTCAGCAATTTCCTCTGCCACTCCATGCATCCTTTTGCATTCTAATCTCTTTGTTTCTAGTGTGCACTTCTACTGAAAGTTTCTTAATTTCTTCATCTGTGAAGCCATCAATAGTTGGGTAATATTCCCAGGTCAATGTTCCACCATCAACAAGTTTTCATAATATTGTTGAAATATAATTGAACATGTTATTCCGTGGCCTGCAGGTTTATCTTTTTAATTTCAGCTACTCCCCTTCAGAGCTTTCTTTTTTTTCCAGTACCCCCCTTTTATATCTTCATTTTTTTGGGGGACCCCCCACTTTCTCATCAGTCCCCCCCC